TAGTCTGCACGTGCTGCGTGTTGCCGTTGGAAAGAGCTCTGAAATGGTCGAGACTCGCAAGCAGGCACATGGGGCGTGTACACGTTGAATTGTGGAGCTTGCTGCTGGCGACGGTAGCAGTACCTAGCGATGTGTCCAGGTAGCCCGTAGTCGTAGCAAGTATGGGTGTCGCGTCTAGTTGTCCCCGGCGAAGTAGACCTCGTTGGTTGATAAAAGCCGGGAGATGGCAGCTGAGGAGTAAATCGTCATGATGCAGCTTGTCTGCATTCCTGGTTTTCGAGTGGCCATTCACTTCTTCGTTCGAACCGATCGGTGTAATTTGGGTGAGGCTTAAAGTAGCCCTGACGCATCCGAGGTACTGGTGGTGCATTGGGGCATTGGTCGAATTCACACTGATGGCAAACACTGACGGTGTCCACAGCTTGCTGTTGAGCAAGTTCTCCCTTAACCACTCGTCTTATAATCGAAGAGATGTCCTGCGACAGAAGGTTGACACTTGCAGTCGGGGGAACGTTGTCAAGACGTCCGAATTTCAGTAGGATTCTCCTCCTCTTTAGCGCTTCAAATGCTCGGCTGTGTTTCCTTAGGTCGGAAGTTGCGTGTAGGTCTTCCTTAGTGATAAGAAAGTTGTACACATCTTCCGCGATTCCCTTGAGGAGATGACCTACCTTATCTTCATTAGACATGGTCGCACTCACGATTCCGCAAAGCTTCAACATGGCCTTGATGTAGGTGGTGCATGTTTTGCCAGGTAACTGAGCTCTGCGTGAAAGTGTTTGCTCCGCCTGATTGACCTTTTTTTGAAAGTGTTTGCTTGACCGCCTGCTGAGCATTTGAGTCATCAAAACACCTCTTCAGCTCGTCCACAAAAATGTCCCATGTGGTTAATGCACTCTCATGGTTGTTGAACCAAAGAGACGCGGTGCCAACAAGAAAAAACACCACGTTCTCGAGCTGCTTAGCAGTGCTCCAGCGGTTGCTGCGACTCACTTTTTGGTAGTGCTTGAGCCAATCCTCAACATCCTCATCCGCCTGCCCCTAGAAGGTCTTTGGTTGACGTTCCGGCATGCTGCAGCGTGCTTGTCCTGGCGGGTAGGAGTGTTGCTCATCAGCGGAAAGGTTGTTATGGCCTGCTCCTGCGTCCTTCATGTTTGGTAGCTGCGGTGGCAAGCCTGCCAAGCGTCTGCTCCGTCGCAAAATTGGTAGAGCTGGGTCGTCCAGATCGATGTACCCGGCACCTTTCCACCAAACTGTTACGAATGAATGTGTTTATTTACAGATGAGGTGAAAAGGCGTTGGGAAAGAGCAGCGTACTTCTGAGAGCGGCCTAGTCCGATTCGTCCAAGTGCCAGCTCCACTACTCTTCTTCTTCCGCATCCCCTACGCTTGCACCTTTTCGTTGCAATATCTATGTCTATTATATGCGCATGCATATTTGTATAGATTTGCACATTGTACATTGTAACGCATACTTGAAGTCAAATTTAAATGCCGACTCCGGCGATTTATCGAAATCAATGGATCTCAATGAAATTCACTGGGTACGTTTAATTGCACGATTGTGCCATTCATGCCAAATTGCAGGCTTGAGAGTTTCGCAGATTTTTTTCAAATGAATTTTATAGCTGGCCTCGAAGTGCTCACCTCGTTTGCCAGTATTAATGGCAACATTGTGTGTGTGACAGTTGAGTTTTGCCTGGCGGAAGTGACAAAGTGGTGTGTCACTGCAGCGTCTGCATGTCTGCTATGGATTGTGTGGATTTGGCCTGGCGCTTCCATGAATGAGCATGCGATCTCCTTTTCCGTGTTGGTGGACGTGCGTCATTGTGAGCCACACACGATTCACCATAACAGCGTAATTGTTTTAGCCGATCGCTGCGGACTGCATGGACAAGTAATGCCACCTTGCAGGCATTGTGTGCAATCAGGCAGGTTCTGGAAACGTCAGGCAAATCTTTACGTCACACGTACAATCGCACTCGGTTGGGTTTCGGTTTCGGTATTGTAGTTTTTCGGTAATTAAAAATTATTTTCGCGTTTTTTGAGCATATCAGTTGTTGGGTGTGTGAGAAGACTGTCTAAGGAACATAAAAGCACCATTATTCTGACACGGTAAAAAAATCACCGGAGTTGGCCTTTAAGACTCCCTGTAGTGAAACAATCTCTGCCCGATTCCCTTCTGTTATTTCCTATGACTCCAAGTGAAGTTGAAGAGATAATCGGAAGTTTTAAGTGCAATGCAGCTGCTATACTGGCCTCTCCCGTAAACTATGCATCAGATATTATATCCACAGTCCTAGCCCATATTATCGATAGAATGTGTGAGTATGGAATTTTCCTAAGCAAACTTAAAATAGCCCAAGTCTCCCCCAATTCACAAAGGGAGTGCAGATCACTTCGCGAACAATTTTCGGCCAATATCAATACTACCACTCTTCTCAAAACTTTTTGAGGCTGTTATTAACTCTCGACTAGAATGATTTTTAAATAAGTATGCTATAATTAGCGCATCGCAGTATAGAAAACCCAAGCTCAAGTTTGCGGAGTGACGACAACGCCGCGCCTGGCCCTGGCGGCAAGCTCTGGAAAACTTGAGAGACGCGGGCGAGGTTACAGGCGAGTTAATGTGTTTCGCCGAAACGCAGAACTGCAGTCGGTAAGGCGTCATGCTGTCAGCTTGGCGCGCTAAAACGAGACGCTAGCTGTGCGAAGCAGCAGCCCCCCGGAAGCGTCGGCGACGTCGGAAGTATTGTTGTGTTGTGGGCTGCCACAACAATGCAGACAGCACCAAGGGACGCTCTCCACGTGCAAAGCTGTATCAGTATCCCAGCAAGTAAAAGCCGCCGAACACAGCCGCAAATCGCGAAATACTGTTATTGAAACTTCACACTGATAGGATATGTGGCACAGCATTAGAACTCATGTGAAGCTATTTAACGGATTGTTTTCAGTATGTTTCTCTCAATCAGGTGACCTCTCCCCATCTTAAAATAGAAACTGATGTACCGCAGGGATCTATACTGGGCCTAGTATTATTTAACATAGGCATACATTATCAAACTCCTAAGCATTTCACCTACACCGAACATAGTCATGTATGTAGATGACACTACTCTTTTCTTTTCAAGCACATTACTAAAACAGATTTAAAAAGAAATCAATGATTATTTAGATATATTGTCTGACTGGCTGAACTTAAACAAACTTCAATTAAATGGTACAAAAACTAAATATATTGTATTTAAGCCAATAAATAAACCAATGCCTCTTAATATTACTGTTTTATTCAAAGGAAACCAGATAGAACGAGTAGCAACACAAAAGTTTTTGAGTGTATAGTTTCAAGAAAACCTCATTTGGGAAAATCATGCTCAGCATTGACCTTAGCGAAGTAGGAGGTTCTATATATAAAATTAATAGTCTTATACCACTACCACTAAAAAAAGCAATGTACTACGTCTTTTTTTACTCAAAACTTAGTTATTGTGCATTAGTCTGGGGAACAACTGTAAGAAATTACTACAAATTAAATAAACTGCAAAAAAAGGTAATAGTTTCCGGAAGCTTTCATGGTAGGCCGCGAGACTTACCAACACACAATCTTTTCAATAAACATTCATTGATAAAAGCAAATCAACTTTACTATTATAGATTACTATTGCTTATAAAAAAGCAGAGACTCCATATTAGTAGTACACCAATTTCATCTCCACGATATCAGTTACGCCACCAAACAACAACGCCACCACTCACGCGAACAAACCACAGACGCCAGGACCTATAATATCAAATACTAGGGCTATTAAACATTCTGAGAAATGACATAGGCTTTTACGCACCCCGTTTCAAACATTATGTAAAGAACGTTTTCTTACGTGCTGCGATAATTTATCAATGACATCTTTATACACCGTTTATACATGGCTTTTTCACTGTATTTATTATTACAGTTTCAATCTTCATTATTTAATGTATTTTGCATTATTGCATTATTTAATGCAATGTTTTTGAACTGATTGAACGATATGTCTTTTTTTCTTTCCATGAAGTGTTTTGCATGATATATATTTCGTTTCATGAAGTGTTTGCATGATATTTTTATTTTATATAAAGCATTTTATTCTATCGTTTCATGAAGTGTTTGTAAATGCTTTTTTTGCCTAGAGGTATTTTGTATGATGCGAAGTTGTATTTGCTCTGTTTGCATTTAGTTATGCACATGCTGATGTTTTATTGTTTTACATGCATCAAAACCATTTGTATGCATGCCGAATTCCCAAAGGAGTAAGAGCCTCTGTCCATTCGCCTGGCCTTTCGCTCTTGCTCCTCTTTCTGTAAAATGAAACAAAGTGTGTAGCATTTTTCTTTGCATATTTATTTTTTTGTCTTCTCTGAGACCAAGTGCTGCACCCTCTCGTTTTACTGCCGCTGGTTGGGGCTTTGTCAAGCTGTCATTGGACAGCTTTTTTCCCAGCCACCTTCTTTCACTGTAAATGTTTGTTTTTTAGTGAAAATAAAGTTCTTGATTGATTGATTGATTGATTGATTGATATTTTTATATCTGAAAAACATGAACATATTTTTATATTTGAAAAACATGAACACTGTTGTTAGGCTTACCCTTTATATGCTTACCTTCCTGGTTTAATGTGCCTGTAGCAAAATGGCTGATTCCCCATACGTTGTTCAGTACCATAAACAAGTCCCTGGTTCTTTCTCGTGTTTCGGCACCAACAGTGTAGCGAAACCACTGATTTCCCGTACATATCAGAAAGATGTCTGCTTATTGCCGATGTTGGATGTGAACTATGTGAACTTCCTCTGACCATGTGCATGTGCACACTTCAACTTTCTCGTCTTCTTAACAGTTCTGCCCGCTCCTTGATGCACAATTTCTGGGCATTTCGCAGCCTTGCCAATGGTATTTTAGAAAGTAGAGTTACTATCCATGACGAGTTGTGAATCCATCATTCATTGCATTGCATCATTTACCTTTCCAGTATTCTACAAGACCTCTGATGCGGTCGGTAATAATGCTATACGCACGTACGACTACAAGACCTGGGGCGTAGAGGAGTGAGTGGCTGCTGCCAATCATGGGGTCCTCTGCCGTAGAAGGGCGACCTCAGCACGAGCAGCACCTGGACCTCTTGGAGAAGTTCAGCCAGAGCAAGCGGCAGCTGGAGCAGCTCTTGGACACCAATGACTTGGCACAGCTAGATGGGAAGTTGCAGGAGTTGCAGGTCACTGTTTCTGCTGTGTCATCCTTTGTGCCAGAAAGCACCACTTCTAAGTGTGCCTGGCACTGAGAACTAGTTTGGCAAAAATTGGCATGGGCAGTTTTTTTTCGTTGTTCATGACAAAAAAAAAAAAAAGAAAGGAAGATTGTAGTTAGGCTAGATGTGCACAAAGATGCACAAAGAGCACAAAGATCTCAAAGCCTTACACAGATATATGCAACTGTAGTTCATACCCACATACTATAATGGCCATGGCATATATAGGAAATATGAAAACTTCGTATACAACTTTAGAACAGAGAAAACAAATGAAAATTTTAAACTTGCATGGTACCTTTTTTTTTAGGTTTGTACAGATCATTAATAGAGCATACATTTTATGAAAGACGCTAAGAAAATGGAGCTTAATGTTGGTACATTATATTCCAACAGGCTTGCTGGCTTTAGGAGCATTGGCCCTAAATTAATTCCTTTTTGTGTTGCCATGCTTTCAGGCCATAATTACGGAAGTGGCAAGTCATCTGCCTGCGGCCAGTTTGCGCTGGGTTCAGGAGCAGTTTGCAGCACTGAGGTCACGAGTGGACGAGGTGCAGGAGAAGCTCAAACCACGCAAGCGCTTTGCCTTCAAGTCGGCTAGGGGCTCTGTGGCATCCTCTGGCAGGTGAGCCAGCTTGTCATGGGCGCTTTTTGTAGGATATGTGCACAAATATCGGACAAACACAGGAAAAATAGAGTAGACAGAAAGACCGCAAACTATCAACTTTATCTCACCCAACAAGTTCTTCTAGAATCCTCGGTGCTTTCAGGCCTGAACAACAATGAAAAGAACACTAATAGTAGAGTTATAACCTTATCTTTCTTCACCATATTTAGTTTATTGCTGAAAAAAGCGAACAAAATCCAACCTGGAATTTCAAAATTTCTTGCCAAAGCATCTGCGATGATTCATCAGGTAGCTTCTTACTGCCCTTAGTATGCTAGTGATTGTCGTTATGTGTGTATTGGTCCTTGACACCTCTGAAAATTGTATGTTTTCAGGGGCCTTGAAAGTCCTGCAATTAATATTTCTGCTTGGTAACATTTAAATTTTAAGAGCTCTGGGTTTAGAGAACAGTAGAAAGCGGTGAGGGCCAGAATTTTAAGTTTGCATTGTTGTTGCATTCTGCACACATTCAAAACATGAATGCAACTGGAGCTCTTGCATTGTACACGCTTTGTGGAATATAGCATTTGTTTTTGAAGCACGTATGGCATTGTGGCAGTCAGTGCCTGCCGGACTCAGTCATGAGCCTGCACTGTTAAGAGGGGACATGGTGTGTGGAGATATTTTCTGTATTTGTGGACCAAACATGATGAAGATATACATGCTCATGTAGTTTCTCCTGCTGTTTTCAAATATGCAAAACTTTTCATTGTAGGTCAATTAATTTAAAAGATACACAATGCTGCCACTCTGTTGTTTCGGAGACAATAGAAAAAGAAAGTGCTTATCAAAAAGTATATATTATTGCATAGCTAAACAGTGCAATTAGCAGTAAGTGCAATGTTGCAAGCAGATTTCAAATTAAAGAAAAACTAGTGATTCTGCAGAGGATGAAAGTTGAGGAGTCATGTCATGGCTATCACATACAAAGAAATTTAATACCTTCTAAAGTTATATAGGCAGCAAATGGAAATTCTGCTCTCAGCACTTTGTAATACACAGATTTGGCTTTACGTTAATAAAAAAAATTATTGCTCTAGCTGTTCTAGATTGCAAGATATTGTTACGAGGCAGTGGGCATGGCTCCGCCGTCGTAGACGCATAGATGAAGAAGAAGCGGATTCGGAGCGCAAGATCCTAGCAGCCCTGGGGTGTCACACTGTCACAGGTCTTGTTAATTCGGGAGGCGATCGCCGGGCTAATTCCAAGGGCCGAAGTATCGGCCCCCCGAACCGCACCACGAAAGCGTGGACAATTTAGAAGTGGTCCTTTTTGGCGCGCCAGCGGACGCCGGCTGTGGCCCAAAGAACAGGTCAGAGCCAAGAGTCGATAAACAAAACAAAATTATATTCTCAATAATGGCAGATCAACACAAAACACAAGTATGCATACTCCACAATAGTTGAATACAATATGTCACCAATCAAACAACGTACTACACAGTACAATCAGCCACACTCGAAACAACGGACACAGACAACAATACGCACTACAATGCAGTCGCATGCATCGAACAACCAAGACACTTAAAGACTAAAGAGTTCGAAAACTTATTGAGTCCAAAGTCCTTGGAACAAAAGGCTGAATGATACTCTTCCGAGAATCACTCACTCAAAGTCCAGCGTTGTTGTCGTTCCGCTGCCCCCGAAGTTTCTCTTCCAGGAAACCTCGCGTCTTCAATTGGCCGCTCTCCAGGCTCCAAACTTCTTCGCCGGAAACACGTTGGCTTCACACACGCAGATGTTGCCACGCGTCTTCGCTCGATAGCGGTAGACACACACTCTTGCCTGTAGCTCGAGCCTTCACCCCTCAGGTGGAAATCCTCTTCTTCTTCCCCTTTGTCACGGAAGACAAAAGGCTTCACCCACAAGGCGCAACACCCTACGCACTCTGGCGCATACTTTCTTCTTCTCCTGCTTTGTCACTACGGACAAAACCTTCGCCGACTACATGGCGGAATACCCTACGCGCTCAGGCGCTAACTTCAGTCTTCTCCTGCTTTGTCACTACGGACAAAACCTTCGCCAACAGACGCGGCGGGATACCCTGCGCACTCTGGCGCTAACTTCCTTCTCCTGATCTCCCATCTCCGCTGCTCGATTAAATATCTTCCGCGCGAGATTCCAGAAAGTTCTCATCATTTCGTCGGCGCGATGCGCAGCGAAGGCTGGGGGAAAGGGCGAGACGGTACGAGGGCCGTCCGCGACGGATGACGCAACCCTGCATCACCACGCCCCTTTCCATCGAGAACGTTCCAGGGCTTGCTCGGCCGCCAATGCGAGGAGGTTCGTTGGCGAACCTACGCTTCTGAGGGGAGAGGGTCGCGCGCCTGGGGAGTCTTTGGATGCTTGTTTTCTTTTTTTATCGTTGACCTCTCGGCGCTTCGTCGCGAGAATTTGGCGGCGCGCTCTTTTTTGAGCGCTCGGCTTGTGACACACACCTACCTGTAAATATTGCAAATACTCTCGTTTTTCTCTTCCGCGTATTTGTAATCCCCGTAACAAATTGGTGTATGTGCTGGGTAACGAAGCGCCATACAACAGAGCTCCGCAGTGGTCATCAAATCGGAGTTTCCGTGATGGAACACGAGACTGATCCCACGGCCACCTCTCCATCGGCCTCGGCGACGCCTGCACTATCCATGCCAACGCCTCCAACGGCCCCACCCCCCCCACCTACGTGCTGACGCATCCGAAACATCCAGGAACGTTCTGCGATACGGACGAAGTTGATGTTGACGACTGGATAGCTGACTAGGAACGTACCAGTGGGCTCAACCGGTATGACCCGACTCTTATGCTGGCCAACGGGCTGTTTTACCTGAAAGGCACGGCCAAAGTCTGGTACGAGAACCATGAGGAGGAGATAGGCAGTTGGGACACATTCAAAGAGAAGCTTCGCAACTTATTTGGGAAGCCCATCGGTCGAAAGGCGGCTGCAAAGAAGGAGTTGTCTATACGTGCTCAGACGTCCGCAGAGCCGTATATCTCGTATATACAGGACGTGCTGGCTCTATGTCGTAAAGTCGACAACGACATGTCGGAGTCTGATAAGGTTGGCCACGTCCTCAAGGGGATGGCAGATGATGCGTTCAACCTGTTAATGTGCCGGAACTGCACGACGACTGTCGAGGAAATTTTTTAGGAATGCTGGCGTTTTGAACATGCCAAAAGCAGGCGTATTTCAAGGTCATTCACTCGACTGCCGAGCATCGCTGCTACGTCCTCCTGCAAAGATGGACTGACGTCTTATCGGCAGTCTTCACCGGCGTCTGAAATTACGCGATTCGTCCGCAGGGAAATCAGAGCAATTACACCTGCTCTTCCCACCAACGGCCACGTCGATTCGCAAGTACCTCAGGTTTGCTTGGTACAGTCTATTCTGCGGGAAGAACTCGGCAATTTGGGCTTCGATGTCTGCGCCGTTGCTCAGTCTCGACCAATTGGCTTCCGTTCAAGATCGCCGCCTCGCCCCAGGTTATCGCCCAGGAACGGTCTTTTCCACGCTCTCGCAATCCGGCCGAATGGCGAACGGTGGACGATCGGCCAATCTGCTGTAACTGCCGCCGCATAGAGCACGTGGCACGGTATTGCTGCAACCATTGGTCTTCGTCCGAACACAGTATAACATTGCTCGCCGCGCTGACAGCTATCGCCTTTTCCAGCCTCCTGTGCCGATCCCCAACAGCTACCGCTGCCTTCCACCCTTCGATGCCCCTGATACGCAGCACAGCTGCTCACCGTTGCCTCGACGTCATCAGTCTCGTTCACCGCCTGGACGTCGTCCGTCGTCCCCTTCTCCTCTACGACTACGCCCAAATTCCCCGCTCAATTCTCATCACGGAAGCTAAACGCTGCAGCTCTTAGAGGTGAAGCTGCATCCTCGATACAGACCTGAAATCCTCTCCTTGTCCTGCCAACACGACGAAATTTGATCGACGTAGACGTTGACGGCCTAACTGTTTCTGCACTTATTGACACCGGGGCGCATATTTCTGTGATGAGTGCCCGACTTGATCGCCGCCTGAAGAAAGTTGTCACACCGGCTGCTTCTGGCATTATTCGTTTCGCCGACGGAAAAAGTCTTGCCATCACAGGAATGTGCACAGCACACATCACAATCGCCGATCACCCCACATCTGTTCTCTTTGCAGTTATTGAGCAGTGCCCCGATGACCTGATTCTTGGATTGGATTTCTTGTCCACTCATGCCGCTCTCATCGACAGTGCAACCGGCATTCTCCAACTTGAACTGCCTCGACTTGGGGCTGTGCCGTCCTCACTGTCACATCGCTTGTGGGCTGTTGATTATGTTCGGCTGTCGCCGCAAGCCTCCACGTTTGTGGCCTTAGCGATATCACCAGCTCTTCCTGACGGTGACTACATAGTGTCTCCATTAGTGGATGTGCTCTTGGCGTGAAGTGTTGCCGTGCCGCATACCATCGTGACTATCGTGGACAACTACGTTCAGCTGCCGCTTCTCAACTTTAGTAGTTCGACCCAAGTTCTCCCGCTAGGCATTTTGTTAGGCCATGCATGTTTCCCCACTTGATGCATGTAACATTGTGACATTAGACCCTGAAGACTGCTCGTCCCCTATTGCAGCCAGCCGAGCAAACGCATCTACCGATGAAATCACGATGATGATTGCCCCTGATCTTCTGCCCTCCACCACGTACTGACCACCTACCGAGATATTTTCAACATCGATGACCGCCCTTTAGGTCAAACGTCTGTTGTGCGTCATCAAATACATACCAGCGATGCTAGTCCTGTTAGACGGCGACCATATCGTGTTTCATAGTCCGAACACCAGGTCATACAACGAGAAGTCGAGAAGATGCTCTCCAAAAGAGCCATAGAGGCCTCTTCAAGTCCATGGGCGTCACCTGTTGTTTTAGTCAAAAAGAGGGATGGCAGTTGGTGATTTTGCGTTGACTACTGTGCCTTGAACAAGAT